AGCCCTTTGCATGTTAGCTTTGATTTCTGGCTTCACTCTTGGACCAGTGTAGAAGTGTCTTTTGTTGAGATTGATCATGTGTCCTGATGAATTGAGAAAGCAGTCAATAATCCCTTTGAATCTGATCAGGTTTCTTAAATTGCCATTTAGGAAAAAAATTATGTCATCTGCATATGCAAGGTGGGAGGGGGGTTGGCTTCTCCCTGTTTGGTTGGCTTTAAGGTAACCCTCCTCAACCTTCCCCTTAATCATTCTACTTAAACCCTCATTTCCATGTATGAAGAGAAGGGGGGGGAGAGGGTCACCTTGCTTAACCCCTCTCTTCATTTTGAAAAACCCATGAGGAGATCCATTAATGAGAATGGAGAAATGGGTGGCCTTGAGTGTGGAAAGGAGAAGATGGCAGGACTGTGAGGAAAAGCCAAAGGAGTTTAGAGTAACCTCTTAGAACTGCCAAGAAATTCTGTCGAACGCTTTTGCAAAGTCCACTTTAATAGAAATGTTGGCACTTCCAGACGGGTTGTCAAGGCAGTGGATCATCTCCTGGGTAAGGAGGATGTTTTCTTCCACTCCTTTACCTGGTTGAAACCCACTTTGATCAGGGCTGATGAGTTTGTGAAGTAGTGCACCCAGTTTATTGGCTAGTATCTTAGTGTTGATTTTTGAGAGGAAAGTGGACAGTGAGATTGGCCTGTAATCTCCCAAAGATTTAGGGTTGTCCATCTTAGGAATCAGAGTGAGGAGAGTGGCCCCGTAGGATTTAGGAATGGGCAGACCCAGGAAGAACTCTTGGGTTGCTCTAGTCACTTCTTCATGGACTATGTGCCAAAAGGTTTTGAAAAAAGTCCCAGTTTATCCATCTGGGCCTGGTGCACTATGGGAGTTGAGGTCCCAGATGGCCCCCCTTATTTCCTCCTCTTGTGGAACAGCACAAAGCATTTGGTTATCCCCTTCATTAATGTTCTTAGGAATATATGAGAGCAGTTCTGGGTTAATACTGACTGATTCTTCAGAGTAGATCTTGGTGTAGTAATCAATTGCGTGTGAAGCAATGTTACTGTCCCCCTCGATGTTCAGGCCAAGATCATCCTTGATGGAGGAGATCCTAAGCTTCTGGCGCCTATTTTTAACCACATTATGAAAGAATGTTGTGCTTGCATCCCCCTCTTTTAACCATCTGATGCAAGACTTCTGCCTCCAAAAGTCAGTTTCTCTTTTGGAAAATAAGAGTAATTCAGCATTGGCCTTGTTAAATTCAACCAAAGATTCCGGGTTTGGGTTTGCCTCAAAATGGTCTTGTGCCCTGCTTGCTCTAGATTCTGCCTCCTTAAGTTGCTGGAAGATGTTACCAAACTCCTCCTTGCTCCATTTGGACAAAATGGCCTTGAGATCCTTGAGTTTTCTCCCAAGGCCTTTCATTCCATTGTAGGTTTTATTGTTCTCCCAAAAAGATCTGATGGTGCCTTCTAAAGTGTGGTGTGAAACCCACAAGTCCAAGAACCGGAAGGGTTTGGGACCAGAATACGTATCCAAAGAGAGATCTAGGAGAAAAGGCCTGTGATCTGATGCTCCCTTACTAAGCATAGAGAGTTGTAGACTGCTAGTCCTATCCAGCATTTGTTGGTTGCTAAAAACATGGTCGAGTCTGCGCCAAAGCTTCCCATTGCTTCGTTTCCCACTCCAAGAAAAATGTCCTCCTGAAGGATGGGTGTAAAGGAGATTGCCGGCTTCCATGCATTCTCTAAAATCCTCCACTGAGTTATTGCAAGGATTGCAGTTCCCTTTGTGTTGGTCAAGGCTGTGGATGCAGTTAAAATCTCCTCCAATGATCCATGGATGTATGCTAGGGGCCCTGGATGATATGGTATTCCATAATGCAGTTCTTTCAGCCCTGGTGTGCCTGCCATAGACAGAAGAAATCCACAATGGGCCATGCATTGCAGCTGAGGTGAATTGGCAGTGTATGATTTGGGGGCATTCAACTGTTTGGATCAGAATTAGACTTGGTTCCTTCCAAAATATCCATAGTTGATTATTCAGATGGTTGGATGCATTGGTCATACCCAACATATGCTTATAATCCTCCAACGGGTTATTATCTAGCAGGGGTTCCATAATAGCAATAAAAGAGAGATTATGGGAAGAAGAAAGGGTTTGAAGTCTAGGGGAAGACTTCTTTATTCCATAAAAATGGTTCCATGCATGTATAAGACAGTTACAACAACAAGCCCAAATGGGTAACAAACAAACAACAATACAAAGTTGGCACACATGCCGTACAAAATAAATATCCAGAAACAAATCAACAGTGTAATCCAGCACGTTCAAACTCTTGCGGAATCCACTTCCAACACCATCAACGGCAATAATACGATAGGCAAAGCAAGAGCAAGGAGGGAGTATATATTGGTGGCACAATCCAACTCCAACCATACGTACTCCCTGTCAAGGATCGGGTATCACATAAATTCACACAGGTGAACCGCAAAGCTACTTCAAAAGTCGGTCCAAAGTTCTTCATCCATGGTTGCATCCAACAGAAGCAAGAGTTATGTTATCCTTGCCATAGATACCACCGGCATGCCAAGGGCCACGCTCCGAGTACCAGAAGTTGTCCACCATAGTCGAGGAGGACAACTTAACACCAAAGTGACCTCACCCTGCCATACAAACCCCTCCCCTAGGTCTATGGCCAGAGTGCCCCCTAGGTATTTGGCAAGCATCCCCACACAGACGAGGCACAAGTTCACCAGGTTGTTCCACAAGCCTTCATCTACTATTGCCTTCGGTTGTTCAGAAACAATACATAGATAGGCAGGCAACCAGCAAAAACGACCTCCGAAACCCGAGAAAGAATCCTAGTTGGCCAGAAGATCAACTTCATAGCCAAGATAGTCCCAGTTCTTCCAACAAGGGGTGGCAAAGGGGTCTTGAGACCTCTACCCTTCATGAAAGGGATTGCATTGATATTAGCCTGAGAAAAATTGTTCTCCAGGGCAAGAAGAGGACTCTTATCCTGAGCCCTCTCACCTTCCTCATCAGAGTGAATGCATGTAGGGGTACCTGGGGTGTCATTGTCCTCAACGGTGGAGAGAAGTGCCAGGTAGTTCAAAGGAGAGGAGTGTTCATTATTAGCTCCTACTTGTTTGCAAAATGAGGCCTTCGTAGTTTTTAGTTTAGATGGGCTGGATAGGCTTGTTGAGGAGAGACTGTGCACCAATGGGCTGGTAGTTGGCCCAGCTTCAAGTTTGGGTGAGACACTTGGGCTTTTTGGGGATCCACTAACATTATGCATATGTAAATTGGGTCTGTTTTGCTCTGTGTACCCCAACTTGGAAGGGCCCGGAATGTCTGAGCATTTCTTGGCTTTGTTCGTTTGCCCATTAGCCTGAGTGTGCTGGATGCCTGCCATCACATTATGAGCTAGTTGTTGGCCTTGAAT